TAAATTTTTTTCTGCTTGAATAAGTCGTTTACTATATTGTTGTTTTTCCTCAATTATTGTTGGGTAGGATCACTTCTTATGGTTTTGTGTGTTGTTTTGTCATTCAGTAATTCCCTCATTCTATCTTCGTAATCCTTTTTGTAGATCATTACCGTTTTGATTCCTTTATCTGCTTGTGTTATTATTATTTCTTCCTTGTGTTGACCTATAAATTTTCTGGTGTCTGCATACGTTTTCAATATAAATTTTTCTTTCGTATTGTTACTTAATCTGTCATAGAATGTATTGATTCTTGCAGAGATATTGCTTCTTGTTGCATCTTTTTCCCTTTCGTCAGTAATATCTTGTATGCCTTGCTCTAAGTCGGCAATTATGGGAATCGGGGAAAATGTTTTCTTAGACACCGGCAATGCGAATTTGCCTCCAAGTGACAGTAGCCAACGGAAATACTTAGGCATGGGAATATCTGTTTTATTTTTAAACCAATCCTCATTAAATCTTATGCCAAATTTTGTTATATTTTTTGATATTTGCTCATCTAATTTTTTCTCATGTAGTTTCTGCGTGTCTATTGAAACTTTATTAGAAAATTGTTTCTGATTTTCTATTATTTTCTTGTATTCTACTTCCATAAGTCTGCTTTTCAGTAAATTTTCCCCATGTTTAATGTTGGTTGTGAATATTTTTATATTAATATTTGTTTCTTTAATTTCTAAATTGAGGATTTTGAGCAGAAAGCATTGTTCCAGTTTAACATGTTCACGTCGGGTTGTGTCTAGTTTGAAACAATGTGAGAATTTTCTACATTTACCCTGTAAGTGGGGCGGAATGATACCGTAGTCCTTACATCTTAGTAGGAACTTTAACCTCTCCTTTTGTTTTGTCAATTTTTTCATGTTTTTGTTGTATTGCTTTATTATGTAGCATGTCTCGTCGTTGTATTTAAGTCTTAAATGTTGGTAAAATTGCTTCATGTTTACTTTTTTGTTTACCTTTTTAGTTGTTTTCTCGGGTTTGCTCACCGATGGTAATAATTATCTTTGTATGGGCCAAATTCCTATGAATTTTGTTTGTTGGGTTGGAGCTGCTTCGGCCGATGGAGTAAAAGGCGAAATGCTTATATTTTTCCCTTGTCCCTCCTACGCGTTTCGACACTCTCGTGTCATCTTCAGGGGGTCTGTTTTATTTAAACGATAAACAATAAACATGAAGAACGAACGAAAACCATGATTAACAAAAACATAATAATAGTTGCATACATGCATACATATATACACAACAATAGTTACATATGTACATGTATACTTAACACTAATTATCTACACACATAATATCACTTGAAACGCACACTAAATATTGACAAGAATTTTACATTGATTTGCACACATTGAAGGTAATACAACATTTAGGAAGAATTATTGAAGTATTCTTATTTATATTTTAATTTTAGTACGGATGCATATGTGTTCTTCGTGTTGTCGACGTCTTCTTTAAAGTTGATTGCGTTGTCCAATTGTTGTTGTATTCGTAGGCTCTCCAGTGTCATTCTCCTTCTTTCTCCCCTTTCGATGTCCAAAATTTCTGTGTTGCCGAAGTCCGCTATATGTTCGTGCGTTGTTAAGTGTTGAGCCAGTGCTGTTGTCATCTTTTTGTTTCTCGCGTCCGCTCTGTGTTCATTGATTCTTATACCCAACGCTCTTTTTGTTGTGCCTACTTAGCATTTATTGCAGCTTTTGTTATCATTGCCCTTGCACTTTATTTGGTACACTACATTGTGTTGTTGCTCCTTTTCAATCTTGTCTTTGGTTTTCGTCAACAATTTGTTGATTGTGTTATGGGGCTTGTGTGCATATATCACATTCTCATTTTTTTTATTGTTTTTCGGAGTACTTGGTTATTTGTAAGTCCTGGTATGTATGTCACCCCCATGTATTTTTTGTTAGTGTTGTTTGGCTGTACTTCGGTGTTCTGGCTCGGTTGGCGAATTTGGTTTATTGCTGTTTGTAATAATCTTTCTATTAACGCGTGCGGGTAGCTGTTTTTGTACAATATGTTTTTTATTTTCTTGTTGTTTTGCTCTGTAAATTCTTCGTCGCTGAGCAGATGGACTTTTCTAATAAGACTGGCAGCGGTGTTTATT